CAGCATGCGTGCGACGATGATGGGGTCGACGTTTTTGGAGCAGGTTTTGGAGCAGGACTTTGCGATGGAGTGGCTGCTGGCTCCGGTTTCTGGGATGGAGTGCATGGCTTTGAAGAGCTGCACTTCGACGGCAAGCCAGAGCGTGGTTAGGTGGGTGGGTTGGGCCCAGAGTATGTGTAGCATGTTTTCGGATGGGTGGCTGACTTCTGCGATGAGGCTACGGCATGCGTCTAGTAAGCCTTCTCTTGCGCCGCTTGCACCATTTTTGAAGCCGGTGCTGAGGGAAGCGATGGTGTCGAGCAGGGAGAGAGCAGCTTTGCTTGGGGTTGGATCGGCGGCCATGATTAAGTCTGGGGAAATCGAGGGTCGCAATGATTAGGAGGAAAGGAGCACCAGCCTTGCGTTCTTATTGTCGCGACAAGTTGTCGGGATGCTAATCCAGTCGCACCACACGTGTGCCCCTCATTGTTCGGACGAACCTGTACCGAACTGTTGTCAGCACAGCACCTGAGCACGGCAGGTGGCACCTGCAAGGCGTAGTAGCGAGGCTGTGGGCTGCATGATGACCTCAGTCCAAGACCCCAGATCCTGGACGTTTTCCGTGTTGTGCCCACGCTGGTGATCCTTCTATCCTTGCGTCAGCCACTCCACCAGCTAGCCTATCCTGACCCCAGTGTGACCGCGATAGAATCGTTTGTAATCATGTCGCACCAACAAGACGTCGAGGCGCAACATCCACCTGTACAAACGGATGCTGCCCAGCATTCCGCAGCGGCAGATTCGGGGTTTGACGCTGGCTCGTCATCTGAATTCGATCAAATTAACAAAGGGGAGCATGATTTGAAGCGCAAGATTGTACGAGCGAAGCCAACTGATGATGGGTGAGTCAATGATTGAGACATCGTAATATCGGGGTATCATTTGAATCATAAACTAACTATTCTTTTTGACCTCATGTAGTCTTTTGCCGCTTCTTCGCTTTGGAAAGCGCCGATGTTATGGCAGCGAGCTCTTTCTCAACGTCCTCATCGTCCTCGCTTTCCGCATCGACGTCGGCAGCTTCGTCATCATCGGCAGCCTCGAGTGTTGTGCCACCTTCTTCGTCGTCATCCGACACCTCTTCCTCATCATCGTCATCGCCATCTATTTGTAGGCCGTCTTCGTCGCTGAAACCACTGAAGTCGCTATCGTAGTCGGACTCGTCTTGTTTCGCACCAGCCTTCTCACCGGCCTCACTCTCACCACCTCGCTTCCGCTTCTTGCTCATCTCACCGAGCTTGCCTTCGCGCTTCGCGTTGATGGGTCCGCTGGTTGATTCCTCGCCCTCTTTGTATGGTGGTGGGGTGAACCAAGGCAGCTTTCCTCTTATCCAGTCGTTCAGGACCATCTTCGCAGCGCCGTCAATGTCGGCTTCACCGCCCTTCAACAGACGACCGCTCTTACGGCACAAGTTTTCCAGAAAAGCGACAGCATCGCCTTTGTAATCTGAATCCTTGATATCGTACGTTCGCTGGAGATGTCTCGGTTGTACCCGCTTCAGAACCTCTTCGATGTATTGTGCTGGGTACTCGACGTTCTCGACACGTACACTACCACGGAGCAGAAGATCCGTATCGGTGTCATTTTGGTTTGGTGGTACGATACCAGGACAGTCGATCATGTAGATGCGCTTCATCAGGGTAATGTATTGCCAGACCTTGGTTTCGCCAGCGATGGGCGCGACGACGCACACCTTCTTCTTTCGCAGAGTGTTGATGATGGACGATTTACCGGTGTTCGGGTAGCCAACCATACCCACAGAGACCTGTTTACGGTCGCTGTGGAGAGAGCTGAACTGGCGGAGAAGGGCGATCAAAGAACCCTTGCCGAAACTGTTGTTGATGGAGGCGTGGAAAGCGAGTGTCGGGAATTCCTTGCTAAGATGACGAACCCATGCAGCCTGTCAAGTGTCAGTGCGTGGTCATCAACTTGACATGATAATGTGCGTCGATGACGGAATGTGCGAAATATTACTAAGAGTACCGCCATGAAGCTGCGAGTGCAGAGACGGTCCTCAACTCAAACAAATCACGCGTGACTCTATTGATCGGCAACCAAGACGGTTACCAATCGACCCGCGATCAAGACGATCTTAGGCCAGCGAGCCACTTTTGCTCTTCCCAACTTGTAACAGAACCGTATTCATGGAATAGGAAAAGGTCCTTGACTTAAGGAGGGTGTGGATGGTGTAGGGGGTGGAGAGGGGGCGTGAACTTACAGCAACCTTGGAGGGAACAAGATCGACCTTGTTGAGGACGAAGACCAGATGCTTGTGAGGTGCCTCGGTGCGGATGTATTTTTCGACAGAGCGGCAGCGGGTACCATCAGGGTCGCGGGCGTCTAGAACATGGAGAATGACATCGGAGGAATCAATGACCTGGGGTATGTCAGACATGGATTGTGAGAGGTGATGGATGTAAGCTTACCTTGTACAACTCGTTCCAGATACGCTTCGACGTGCCCTTCATGAAGATGAACTCGCGCGCAGACGTAAGCTCGCCGTTGGGGTTGTCGGCGAAGGACTCGTTCTGCTCTGCCTCGCCAGACGTGCCCGACAGCAGCTTGGCGTTCTCGAGGCGCTCCACGTAGGTCTCGTGCATGCTTCCTGTGCGACCGGCCAGATCCTCAATGGAGCTGAAATCGAGCTTCGGGCGCTTTCGTTGGGCCTTGGGGCCGAAAGTCTCTGAGAAAGGCTGGCTGCCGACGGCGATCTTGGCCGCGTGCTGCTTGAGGCCTGGGATCTGTCCTGGTGTCTCGATCAAGCTCATAGGTAGCTTGTTGCGCTTCATCAGGAACGTGGTCGGGTCCGAAGACTGCGCCTCCACAGCCGAGCGGAAGCTGTCGAGCGCATCTTGCGAAATCACTCGCGTGTTGTTGAACCACTTCCTATTGGGCTCGACACGGGCGACAGGTGCAGCGCGGTTCTGGTAGACGGCGGCCTTGGTGATGTCTCCCTTGGCATTGCGCTCCGCTGTGCCACCTGTGAGGCGCTTGAGGAGCTTAACCTTCTTCGCATCACTACGGAACTGTCAGTATACCAGTACATAAGGACCCTGGCGCAAAAAGATTGCGCGACATACCGGTAGAAGTTGGCGCCCTTGGTCTTGACATTTCCCATGCCATCGCCCGTCTTGCCCTCGCGCTCCTTGCGGTTGTACTCTTTCTTCTGGACACCCATGGCGACTGCTTCCGATGGTGTTGGCGGGATGGGAAGAGTGAAGAGTAGAGTTCGCGAGGCATGGGCAACTTTTTTTGAGAGGCGGAAGCTAGCCAGAGTGGGGCCAAGGGGCTTGGCACCGACAATTTCGAAGCAGGCGCGACGACACCAGCGCAGCACCTCCGCATCGCCGCATCCAAGTGCACGAGGCAGCAACACCGCAATGCCGCCCAGGATACCCGTCCGACCCTCTGCAGCCGCCAATGGCTGGAGCAGCAGCTTGTGTGTGCGTGCCTTCTCCTCCACACCATCTGCCCTCGCCCTCGGTCCGCAGTCGCCAAACTACATCGACGTGCCGAAGCCGCTGCAGCCCACGTACCCAGCCAAGCCCGCAGTAAAGGGCCACCTCCCCATCCCAAGAGATGTCTTCAAGACGAGGAATAAGCACCCGAAGGAGTCCGACATCTTCCTCGACCGGAGTACGAAGGAGCCCAAAGACGTCAAGGCCCCCGGACCATACAGCCGGGATGTCGACTACCGGTTATATAAGCAAAGACTGGCGGAGAAGCGGAGAGAAAATTTGAAGGAGGGTGTCAAGGCGCTGCATGAGCGGAAAGTCACATCAGAGGCCGAGTACATGGCCAAGATCCAGGCCATCGGTGCGAAGAGGCGGGAATTGGCCACGGCACCACGGCGCGAAGTCGACATTTTGACAGAAACATCTGTCGCCAAGGGCATTCGCGACTTCCTTACCGACAGCCTGCCCCCGCGGCCCGATATCACAAAGGCCCGGAGCCGAGCATACCAGCGCCGAGTAGCCCGGATACAAGAAATCCGCGCTTCCCGCCTACACGATCTATACACCAACGCACGAAAGTTCATCGTGGACGAACAACAATTAGACGAGGCGATAGAGAAGGTCTTCGGCTCTGATGAGCAGCCTGTTGCTTGGGACGCCAGGGGAGTCATGGGTCCAAGAGAAGACGGCAGGAACGGTCTCAGCCCATGGGACGGTCCTCTGCCCGAGGGTGTCGGCGACATGCTTAACAAGCTCAAGGGTGGCGAGGGTGTTGGACTTGCCAAAGAGCGCGTCAAGAAGGTGGCCGAGGAGCTTACTGGTGGTAAGATGTAAGCTCAGTACCGAGCTATGTATCATGTACTTCATGTGTATACCAATATTTTGACGCCTCGATGATTTTTGGCACGCCTCCTCACTTTGATCAATCACCGTGGTTCACCTTTCACTCCGGACCTGGGCATGAGCCGCCAATAGCGGACAGCGAGCTAGACTGCTCAAGCGCTAGTCAGGTGAAGGAGACATAGCGGTCCGCTATCTTCAACTCAACGTTGTCATTCGGCGACTTCTAACAAACGAACGAAATACATTCTGACCCACATGTCTGGGCCTTATCACTACGAACGATCGCATTGGCAGTCTTCTGATTGCATCTACCACCCTCGCACCGCCTGCCAGTGAAGCCTGCCTTCTCTAGGTCGATCATTTCAAGTACTCACCCGGATCGTGACCGAAGTTCTACTCCAACCGTTTGTCAAGGCTCCCGACTTTACCTCTGCGAAGGCGTTATCAGCGCTAGCCTTCTGCGTGTGAGCAATGGAGATATAATCTGCTCATATACTCATATATCTACTTCTCCACATTCTCTCACAGACCCCCTTCACAAGATTCACTCACTTACTACCCAGGCGTCAATTCCACACCACCATTCAAGACCATCGATCCCCCCAAGCTCACCACTCTCTCCCTCCACCCAGTCTCTACCTCGATCTCCTCGCCTATCATATCATGAAACTCCTCGCCCCAATCCTCGTCTTCCTGCTTTCCGTCCTCACCACCGCGACTCCCCTCGCCATCCCCTTCCCCTCCGACACCCCCGCCAACACCCAAGGCAGCAAGCCCAAACACGACCCCCTCACCCAAACCCCCGCCCACGAACGCCGCGGCGTAGCCTACAACGACGTCGCCTACAACAAGCTCTTCCAAGGCGACGGCACCCACGTCACCTGGCGCTTCAACTGGGACTCCTCGTCTGCGCTCTCACCTGCCTGGTTCCGCTTCATCCCCATGCTGCATTCACTCAGGGACGATCATACGGGAAGGTGGAAAGACAATGCCGAGGCGATGGCGAGGAAGAATTTCGAGGATCATGGGTTCGCGACGTGGTTGATGGGGTTTAATGAGCCGGATAATTGCATGTAAGTACAGTCTTTGCTTTCGGTGAGAATAGGTGTGGTTGTTCGAGGTCGTGCTGATAATAGTAAAAGTCCTGACGCAGGCGGCTCTTGCATCGACGTCCCCACCGCCGTTGCCGGTTGGAAGAAACACATGGAACCGTTGTCCAACTTCAACAGCGCGATGTATCTCGGTTCACCCGCTGTTACCAATGCCGCAGCCTCTGATACCACGGGTCTGGGTTGGTTGGCCAAGTTTCTGGAAGCGTGCGATGGATGTACCATTGACTTCATCAACATCCACTGGTACGTTACTCATCTCCTTCCCTTCCCTCCCCCACTCCCACTCCCACCCCCTCCACCAACACCCCCACTCACAACCCCCCCACAGGTACAACTCCCTCCCCAACTCCGCGCAAAACTTCAAAGACCACATCGCCAACGCGCGCAAAGTCGCCAAGGGCCTCCCCATCTGGGTCACCGAGTTCCGGGCCGAAGGCACCGACGACGAGATCAGGAACTTTCTGGACGACGTCATGCCGTGGATGGATAACTCGCAGGATATCCATCGGTACGCGTATTTTATGGCGAGACCGGGTAAGGGCATGTTGGTTAACGATGCGGGCGATGGGTTGAGTGATATTGGGAAGGAGTTTGCTTTCTTCCATAAGCATGACTCTGAGAAGGATAGGAATGGGAAGAGTTATGGGAAGGGGTGGGATGGGAGGAGGTGGTGGGAGGAGGATAAGTGAGGGATTCTTTTAAGGACCTTGGAAGGGAGATAGACTTGTGATCTAGACGAAGAGTTTGGAAGGCGTGGGATGGAGAGTCACATCTCATTTACCATTTCTCTTACCATCTTGATCATATTAAATATCTAACAACACATCCACCATCCTCAATTCCCCGGACCCCAAGGCTGCCTAATTGTCTTGACGTGATGCCGATATCCTACGCGTAGCTTCCAATGGGGCGCATCGCGTTGTATGGTTACATATGTACTGACCCCGCTCTTGGCAAGCGTGGGGCCTTGCCCAGGCCCCAACACAACCTAGCTTCGCCCATCTCTCGACGATAACGCAGGAACGATAACAACTTCATGACTACTCGCAGCACAAGCTTCACACCTTCCTCATATATACATGGCCAAGGAAGTAACATGCACGATGTCGTGATGCTACATGAGAAAACACGGCTCGTTGCCGGAGAGATGTCAGATCAGAAAGCCCCGCGGATGTAAGCGGAGGAGTTGGGCGACGGCAAGAGTGGGACGGGTGAAAGTATAAAGGTACAAGTAGTACAAGGTGTTCAACATTGACTCTTTTGTTTGTTGACAGTCAATCATTATGCGGCTCTGTGACTTTGTAATTGCAGCTTCTTTAAGCGTAGTCGGCAACGCCGCTCCCACAGCTTCCCAACCACGTCAAGCAACAACCGCTAGCGAACGACTCGGTCTAACATGGCTGGGCGGTAACAGCAGCCTCCCCAAAGTCCTGTACGTATCTCCCAAACCCACCACATCCCCATCCCCATCTAAACCTTCCCCAGCGTCCTCTTCACCGGCGGCACCATAGCCGGCGGCTCCATCTACGGCGCGCTTGACGACACGCAATACGGGCAGCTCAGCCAAACCGGCGAAGACATAATCGCCCGCAACCCGTACCTGCTCAACAACACGCAACTCGCCGTGTCCAACTGGACCACCGAAGACGATGGCTCCACCGGCACAAACGACGCTCTAGTCATGAACATGACGCGCTTCGCACACGACGCGCTCTGTTCACCAGACAGCGACATCGTAGGCGCAGTATACACGCACGGCACGAACTCACTCGAAGAAACAGCATTCCTCATGGACTCACTGATCAACTGCGGGAAGCCCATCGTCGGGACAGGCAGTATGCGGCCCTTCACCCACCTCTCCTGGGACGGAGAAGCGAATTTCTTCGACGCAGTTATGCTAGCTGCGAGTCCCGAGTCGCGGAATAGAGGACTCATGGTAGCGTTCAACGCACGCATCATACCTGGGTATTGGGTCACGAAATTGCATTCGACCAACCCGGATGCTTTTGGTCCTACGTCTGGTGGTGATTTGGGCATCTTCATTAACAGTTTACCGGTTTTCTTCAATACACCCAGTCAGCCGCTGTGGAAGTACTATTTCGATGTTGCGACTGTGAGTAAGTATCCGACGTATCCGACGTTGCCGAAGGTGGATATACTGTACGCGGCCCGCGAGTTTGATGGAAAGTTGGTACTGGATGCGCACGCCAACGGCGCGGACGGTGTTGTTATTGCTGGGACGGGAAATGGCGGTGTGCCGAATGGCGGAGACGAGATTGCCGAGGCGATGGAGAAAGGGCTTCAAGTCGTTGTTGGGACCCGCAGTCCGCATGGACCGTCTAGTCCAGCGCGGACACCTTCGTTTGCAAAGTCAGGATTTGTGCATCCTATTCAAGCGAGGGTTATGCTGCAACTGGCGATTGCGAGCGGGATGAATATGAATCAGACAATTGATGTGTTTGAAGGGGGGTTTAGGAAGGCTATTGGACAGCCTTGGAGTCCGGGGAGTTGAAGATAGAGACGTAGAAAGTGGGAAGCAGTAGTCTTTCAGCGTCACTCACAGCTTAACAGACCCGTATCCAAAGGCCACCGGCAGCACGTCAGAGGTTGAAGATGATGGGGGTTTAGCGGCATCCGCATATTCTGGATTCGTTGATTGAGCTTGAGCTGGCGTGAGAAGATGGGGGAGTCTGGGTACAATGATGATGATGATGATGATGATATTGGTCTAACGCCTTATGTAACCTCCCAGGGGGCATTCCGGCGGGCACCGCCGAGGGTAGAAGTCTGGGTATGATCGCGGATAGGTGCATAGCTTCATTGGCTAATTTACGCCCTCTAGTTGTCTTCGACTTCACATTCTTTTCTTCTAGTTAAAACAGAAGGCTCATAAACCCTAGCACTCGTTGAAGTTCCAATGCCAAATCACAAAGCCGCACGATGATATTGTGCGCTTTTACGGCTGAGATCAGAGCCTTGCAACCTTGGAGGGTTGAAATCAACGATCTGCAATCACGTGTGCGCATCTACCGCGCCGCAATCTTACCCCGCATCGTGCAACCACACCTGGCCCTTCTTACTTCTCTCATCAACACATTCAACGATTTGTGAATTGTTGAACTCCGCCTGGGTCCTTGCCGAGGTGGTATGAACAACCAGAGTTGTAGCAATGGCTACAGAGCTTTGCAGCATCTGCTCACAACTTATCCCACAGTCTTGGAATCCGAAATCCTCAAGATTATATACCGAAGGGTATGACGAGTGGCATACGATTGGCTCCTATACAGAGACTGTGGGCAGGGCTCTCAGTCTTGGGCCTGGCCGCCGTGGTTGCGGTGGATGCGCATTCTTTTGTGCTATCCTTCAAGGTCCAAAGGATTCGAGTTCGAGCAGTATGAGGCTATCAGACGAAACCATTCTCGAGTTTACTGGCAGATTTCTACATGTTAAAACACCAAATCAAGTAAACGGTGGCTTCTTTGAACATACGATACCATGGGTTTTGTGTACAACGAATGAAAAGAACGGTGGGCGACTCTTTGGATGCGCTATGTGGCACGTCGAACTAAAGCAGATCTAGATCGAAATACCCACAAGCATGCATCCGCTAAAGCCCCAATACACAATTATCCATGGGATGTGAGCTGCTTCAGCCGTATCAAAACGTGGATTGAACAATGCGCGGATCATCTCAAGTGCCCTGAATTAGGATCTGTAAAACTTCCCAACCGTGTGATCAAAATATCAAGAGACCCGTCTGTAGCGCCGAGGCTGCTGACCTCCCACGGCGAAGAGGGCCAATACGTCATTTTATCACATTGCTGGGGGGGAAAGGTGCCAGCAAAACTCACCAAATCGCTCATCACTGAGTATGCCCAAGCTATAAGTCTGGAACTGCTCCCTCAGAGTTTCGAAGATGCCATTGAGATCACACGCCGGCTGGGATATCAATATCTCTGGATCGATGCACTATGCATCATTCAAGACGACGCTGATGACTGGGAGCAGGAGGCACCAATGATGGCCTCGTACTATGGCCTCTCCTCGCTCATGATATCTGCAACTGCGGCCAGGAATAGCTGCGAAGGGTTTCTCACCAGACGTACCGCCCTCTTCTCTCCTGCATTGGGTCAAGATAAGAGTTTTTACTTTCACCATGGGATAGATCCGCCACATATAGATATTGCGGGATGCATTTTGTCTACTCGTGGCTGGGCTGCACAGGAGCGAATGCTTGCACCCCGCATCATACACTACACGCGACAACAAGTGATCTGGGAATGTTCAGAAGAATTAGTCATCGAAGCCTGGGGACCGCATGTCTTGGCATGCCCTCCCCGACGTCGCATCTTGTCTTTCTCCAAGAGTCGGCTGGAAGGATCCTTCACAAAAGCTTTCGTGGGAGCAAAAAGGCTACCAAGCACCCGACTCTGTAATGCTCCTCGCGCTACGTACGACCAAGAGCCAATTGCACTCAAGGCATGGCACGAATGTGTTTGCGAGTACTCAAGACGTCGTCTCACAATGCCGTCAGACAAGCTTCACGCCGTGGCCGGTGTTGCAAGTCTGCTTAACGACAGCGGTGAGTTGGGCCACTACCTTGCTGGGATCTGGAGCGAGCATCTCGTGGATCATCTCGCATGGTCAGGACGCGATATTCTTACTTCTACATACACGAACTACAGGGCGCCTACCTGGAGCTGGGCTAGTCTTGATGGCGAAGTAACGTTCGTCAATAGAGGGAGAAGACAGCAGATTTACACGTCTTTCAGTAACGAGGATATGGAAGAACGAGCCAAAGTGTTCGGCATCAAGCTCAAAGAACATCATATGCTCTTGAGGGACAAGCGCAACATATACGGGGCTGTTCTAGAGGGATCCTACATCATCGTAGAAGGCGCGTGTATTACGCGCGAAGCGCTCGATCTGCTCCTGATTAAAATGTCCATCGAACCCAGCCGCCCTGTCGATTTCAAAAGAAAACCCGCTCCCGGTCCTAGGCAACCTTCTCGATACTTCGAAAACAGATACAGAGGGCCGACACAGCATTTGTATTATGACGAATACAAGGAGAAAGATATCACATCACTCCACCAATTTTGTATGTACTTGATGACTTCTAGTGATCACGTTGAAGCGCTTCTACTCACATGGGTCGATCGGGAAGAGAGGGTCGCTCGACGTGTTGGTCGGATGCAATTGTGGGAGTACGACGGCCCATATTCTGATCATCATAAGGACGGGATTCATACGGATGACTGGCAAAGATGGACAGTGAAGTTGGTTTGAACTATTGTATCAGGCTTTCATGCTGAGATCAAGAGCCGATGCCACAGACGACATGGAAAAAGGACCAGAGATAGGGGCCAGTGCGCATTTCCATCTCACCCTTCTTTCAGACAGTCTCCGCGAGGATATCATAGATCAACTACATGTGTTATTATTCACCTACGGGATCTTCTCACAACAACCCGCTGAAGCCTTCAAGTATGTTGGGAAAGAAGCTAGCATCACTAGGTACGGATCGCGCAGACACTCCTAACGTCCATACTCAGACCAACAAGTCGCTACGAGGATGAGGCATGCGCTAGTTACAAGAGTTCAGGCGCTTACGTGAGACCCCTACATGCAGGCTATGTCTTATTCGCAACGAATAGTGTACCTCATGCATGCAGCCGTTTGCGGCTCA